ACATGCTGTCCAGAATGAATATCACAATTTCAATCGTCCTTGTTTATCTCATTGTTAATCCATCGAGCAAACTTCGATACCCGCGTATACACTCCGTATGTGCCCATTCCTCCGCAGCCTCTTCCCCACGAAATGACGCCCGCGAGCACCCATCTTTCGTCAGCTACATCCATTGAAAGGTTATTCTCAATGGCCAGCGGTCCACCCGAGTCTCCCTCGCATGCGTCACCATGTGCTCCGTTGAAGTGACCGGCGCAAAACATGTTGTCTGTGACGATGTACTTGCTGTTGGCCATTTTACATGTACTTTGGTCTACGACTTTTACCTCGGCTTTACGCAGTCTCTTGAGGAACCTTGCATGCCCCGGTAGTCTTCGTTTTTTGTCGCCCCAACCTGTAAAACAGTTCCACGCAAATAGGTCATTAAAACTGTGAACAACCTTTTGAAACAAATATAAAAGGGGAAAGTTACATTCCACATTGGATTATGTAGTGTTAAAAAAGCAAAATCAAGCACTAATCAAGGTTCACAATTTATTCAAAATGGCTTCTGATGAAGTTCTTTTCTCCCTTATCTGGTCTTACCTGGCGATGGGATTCTTAAAAATGTTGGGATGTTGCGTTAAGCTCTATTGGCGCTGACGGGTTCCTGACAACATTGCTTTTGGTCCGGGGGATACTTCCTATGGTGGCCTAAATGAAAGGCTCTGCCCGAAAGGGGTACCTTTTTCAGGCTTAACATATCTAAAAGGGTAGGCATTTCGTGAGTTGAAGTATATGAAAGGGTAGTGAAAATTATTATTAAGGTGTTTATTAGGATTGTTTTCTTGAATACTTCGATGAACTTTATAGCTACAAAAAAAATGATGAGAAGACTTACTGTTAGTAGGTCTGCGAAAGGGGCACCATTCCTCAGTGAAGGGGTTGGATCTCAGAGGGGAGCCTCTCCGTATGAAACTCGCGCCTTCAGTTACGCGCGTGGTTATTTGTGTGTCTCGCGCGTTTTGCTCGACAGACCAAGAAAAAAGAGAGACTGCTCGTAGTCTAATTCTTAGATGCCTTTTGGCCATCACATTGGAGGTTTTCTCTACCAAGCGGCTTTCAAGCACTTGATACACTTAGTTTGAACGACAACAGAAAGCGAGATAGAGGGTGACGACTGGGAAGTTAAGATTACGCTAATTTATGACGACTCTGTTGAGCGACCAACCTCCATGGAGAAGTTTGACGTCACGTTACCATGGTCGCAAAATTTCTAGATCTCAACAATTTTTCTTGACAGAGACGGCCATTTGCATTGTTGAACGATGGAAGAAAAGTATGGGTTACCGTTTTGCTCCTGAGTGCAATCATGCACAGGAAAGTCATACATGTCAATTTTTTCTTCTTTTCTTTCTGCTATACTTGCAGGACCACGGTTTGTTGAGGACCAGAAATCTTCTACCATAGCTACGTAACGTTACGACTACTCTCCATCCTCTTCGAATACACTCTCCAGGTTCAAGCGTATTTCTTTGCTTAAGAAAAGAAAGAGAGAAGCTAATAGAAGAGTTGTTCGGCAACCAAGATCGTTACCATCTTCTTACCTGTAATGACACCAATTCTTCCGGGTCTCAGAAGAAATTTATCAGTGTCATTTCCTCGCAAGGGTAGGCAGATTGGTCTGACGTAATCGGTATAAATAACCGCAGTCTTCAGGCGGATTAGTGCTATATCGCGATCATAGTCGCCGCGGTGATGGTCGTAGTGGGTATGAATCAGGATTCTATTCGCCGAAATCAGTTGTTCCCTGCTGGGCTCTGCTTGGTGAATAAGGATCTTTCCGAGACGAATCTGGACATCGTGCACTGAAGTATCTACATAACAATAGAGTCTTTTCAGTCACGTGGTCAGCGGCTATGCAAATTTATCGGAACAAAAGAAAGTTTCTAAATAAGAAGAAGGTTCAACTCCCACAGGATTGGTTTGTAACAACATGGCCACTCTTCTCTTTTGGGACACCAACAGACATCATGTGAAAACGCTCTATAATCGCCATTTGTTCGTCTCCCATAATACACCTTGCCTGTCTCCAAAATGTTGCATAGGCATTGCCTTTCACTTCTCTTGGGACGACTGTAATACCAGCAAAGGTCATGCAATTTTTTTTTTTAGGAGGGAGGGGGGAGGGCAAACAAGATGTATTATGGAGAATGTGCAAATGTACAGTGTGAGTAAGGTCCTGCGCTAAGGGACCAAAACTTGACACAACAATTAACTGCACATGAGCGATAGTTCCTTGAGCTTAATGTTTAGACCATGTTCACACTTTATGCCTGCGTGGCAGGCGTCATTTAACGTCGGTTAGTGACGTCTGCGGCCCCCAACGTACTCAACGAATTACCGGAAGTGCGTTTCAAATTTACTTCCAACCCGAATGGTAAATAGACAATGGCGTTTTTAACAGGCCAATCATGGCGCCTACACAAATCCTTTAACACAGGTGTATACACTGAACAAGGACATTTGGCGCTGTTTCGCAGAAGGACTTAAGCAGAGTTACGTTTCGTCTGTGGCGTCAGCTGGGTGCCACAGCATTAGCGCATGGGTACCAGCACAAAATTTGCTGCGCTCAAACACTGGTTCTAGATATTGCATCTTTGCGTATATCGTTCCTTCGACGCCATTATAAAAAGTTAATGCAACCTCGCCCCAGGGTCTTGTCGTTTTAATTTCCAATATGGCATCGGAAGGACTTCATTCTGAAAACCGAGAATAACCCCCTGGGTACGATGGTGATATAAGTGCAGTAGAAAGTAAAAATTGTAAATTGTTTGTTTACCCACGACGCACGACGTCTTCGTGCGTTCCAGATCGAATTGGAATTTTGAAGTGTTGGTTTTTGAGGAGAGGGGAAAACCGGAGTACCCGGAGAAAAACCTTTCGGAGCAAGGGAGAGAACCAACAACAAACTCAACCCAAATATGGCGTCGACGCCGGGAGTTGCACCCGGGTGGGAGGCGAGCGCTCTCACCACTGCGCCACCCTTGCTCCCCAAGATCTCCTTCCTTTGGGTATACCAAGCAGTGGAATGTTGTCTAGGTGTTTCGAAGCTAAGGGACAACGTAGGCAGACTAGAAACCAAAACTCACTTTTATGCCCTGGCCGTCGTAACCTGCGAGCAAGCTCTCTCCGGGGGGCTCTGGCGGCGGGGCGGGAAAAGGAAGGAGAACTTGCAACTATGTCTCTGGAAATTGAAATCCACCTCCAATTCCACTGTGACATCCCCGTCGACTGAGCTGTAAGATTTCCGCCAATCAGCGCGAAGCGGAACAAGCGCGAATGTAAACAAACATTTAGCCTGCGTAGCATGGCGGTTTTGGTTAGGCGCGCTAAGTAATAAAGGCGGGCGAGGGCAGAGAAACCGCGAGGAGATTGGGGCGGGAGCAACTCGAAAAACCGCCTGCACGGACGGGAAGCTTTTTTGAGTCGGTCCGTACGCTGGCGTACGGATCTTTCCGACTGGTTCAGAATGTTCGCCCGTCAATAAAATATTTTGGTAATCTCCCATGGGAGAGTTTCGAGAGACTGAAAAAATCATCTCCGCAATAAAAATCAAAATATCAAAGAAGCGTTGACCGGAGCGTCGTCGATCTTGAATATTTGACTGGAAAACAGGGCAACTGTATTGAAGCCTAAACAGGAAATGGCCATTTACAGTCTTCTTCAAAGGAGAGATGTCATGGAAATTTTGTCAACAGGTTTTGGCAAGAGCATGATCTTTACTGTCTTTGCTATGGCCAAAGAAGAAATATCCTCATCGAAAACCTGTATGATCACAATTTCCCCTCCCAAAAGTACTACAGACGACCAGATATCGGAAATGTTCTCGCTGAGCTGTACAGCAGTGGACCTTATGACAGAAACAGTCAATTTGCTTAGAGAAAGTCCACCTCAATTTTCTCTATTACTCGGTGTTAAAGAATAACGCACTCCAGCGCACTACATCGAACGGTGTCCGCTATTTTGGTCGATGAATCGCATACAGTCAGGGGCACCCAACGAGAATATAATTCAAAACCACTTAAACATAGCATTGTTAAACGTATTTTAGTATTTAAACGGTAGACATAGGCATATTTTTATCTCCTAAAAATTTTTCACCTGTTCGGATTTCCTAGCTGAAAGTCTCGAGATCCGAAAATCATAGGGATCAAAACTTACCTTTTCGAAAATTTCAGCCAGAAAAAAGGCTCCCCAAAAATCTAGGTGAACTTTTTAGGGTAAAAATCCATTAAACATGGGCAATTACACCAATTTTTAGATGTTCGAAAATCCTAGGAGAGGTAGGCAAGCAAGAAATTTTACAAAAAATGTTCCGAAAATTCTAGGTCTCAAATCGTCTTCCGAACAGATATTTTCCGAAAATTGACGTTGGGTCCCCCTGTACAGTAGAAGAAAGACGCACAGTATAATTCTCGGTACTTGGTGTAGCTTAAGTTTAAGCTACAACTCAAATCTGAAGATCGCGCTATACGTAAAAATACATCCTGCAAACAACACTTAAAAAGCCGGTCTCAGCGTCAAAACATTCACGAAGAAAGAAACTACAAACCAAGGCTCCCTGGTTTGTAGTTATCCAGGTCCAGGCATTTTAGTCGGAAAAGACCAAAGAAGCTAAAATATTTACTAAGCCGTAATAAAAAGTTTTAGCGTTTAAGAGTGGTCAAACAAATTGGTACTTTACAACTGCATCTGAGATCAACAAATTCCGATCAGCAACACGTACAGAAGCATTAACCACAGGAAATAATTACTCAATATGGATGAAACAAACCAACTTAGTGCAGGAAAAATAAGATCTACTCAGTCAAGTTTAGAACGCAGTGTAGTCACCTATGCGAGAGATAGCAACAAAGAAAAAACCTGTGTTTGTTCAAGCAAACTCCAATTCCGGCTAAGGTCACGTTTTACATTATATTACGAACGTTTGTGTCGTGTTTAGGCTGTCAACACTTTATTTCTGATTGGTTGGGAAAATTGAAACCAAACAAGTTGTCAACAGGATGTCAAAAGGAGTTGAAGGGGGCGGCAGTTGAAAAGGCCACGAATCCGGGCAGGCGGTTTTATTTTTCTTGCGGCTTCGCCGCTCGTGCGCCCGGCTCGACAAAATCGCCATGCTACACACGCTAACAAACATTGAAAACTACGTGCGAAGGGCAATGACGTCATCACTAATGTCATCTCCGCCAATCAGCATTTCGCATCGACTCTTTCGATGCAGATATTCAAATTCCAGAGACGTAGTTGCAAGCTCTCCCTCCTTTTCCCGCCCGGCTGCCAGAGCGCCCCGGAGAGCTTGCTCGCAGGCTATGGCCGTCGCTGTTACCTTAACCCTTTTACGTTCCTAAAGAGCCTAACAATAGCAATACATAATTGACACATTAACAAGAAGCGTTATGAGATTGATAGATAAAATGAACACCAGCGATTTTCCAGTTTTAGCTAACTTGTTTTTGGTGAACATGGGCCAAGCAAATTCAGGAAGAGCCAATGTGGAAAAAAGGCACCATGAACGCTTGGCTGCCCCCCGAGAGGGGGTACTCCCTTATTTCGCCTAGACGGATGTGTGCCGCTCAACAGAGTATGGCTTTCAGAGTCTTGAGTCTTAAACAGGGTATACAAATTCACTATTTGGCATCTTTGGACCGGAAGCGTTAGTAATGATGTGAAGGCTGCAGATAATCGGTCCACATTTGTGGCAACAACAACTTTTTCCAAAAATTGTAGTTTATGATCTTAGTTTGAAAAATTACCTAATTCTGTATGCAAAATGAAACAACTCTGGGCCGAATTGTTTAAAGCTGGGTTAAGATAGCCCAGGGTTAGTGCGAGATTTGCATTCAGATTTGAAAGCTTAAAAAGCAATTCATTTTTAATTCTTTCTGTCTACAAGTTGATGATTGGAACCTCTAAAAATACAGAGAAAATTGTCCGAGAAAATTCTTTTGAACATAAGAAAATGAAACCCGGGTTAAGCGCTAATCGGCCTTCGAACAACTGGGCCCAGGGTCATAAATTAAGGTCCCTTGTCTTAAAAAGGTAGCGAAATGAGTAATTTTTTTCTTAAACAGGGTCAGGTTTTGATGGCTTAGGCGGCATACCTCTACCCAAACAATCCCTAGACTTGTTACAAGTCGACCTCTCATAAGTTCTTAAAAGCGCGCTTCAATGCATGAGTTCGTACGGCGACAAGAAAAAAAAATAAAGGACTTTAATATAGAAAGTCTAAACAGCCCCCAGACGATGCCTTAGCATTGAAAACAAAATAACAAACCAGCTACACAATGCGCAGCGGTAAACACCCATCTCGAAGCGACAAGGGATCCAGCACAGAAAAGTTTATTCGTCCTTGTGTTCCACAGGGCGGCTTGCCATGGGAAAGACCCTGCTTCTACTTTCTTACCGCCAATAATCCTGCCACGATTGGTCAGGGTGCGACGGCCGCAGGCTGCGGGGGGAAATCAAGGTTAAAGTAAGGTGAGAATTTAGGCCTAGATACAAATATCGCAAAAAATGTTCTAAATTTCTTTCTAGAAATTCTCATAAAATTCCAAAATTTCTTTTGAATTTAGTCTAAATTTCTTAAAAAATCTTCTAAATTTCTCAGAAATATCATTTTTTCTCTGAATATCACTTTTTTTTCTAAATTTCTCAACATTTTCTAAATTTCTCAAAAACTTCTAAATATCTCAAAAAATATCGCGATATTTGTATCTAGGCTTATGAGAATTACAATCGTCAAAAAAGTATCGGTAACGTTTAAAACCGGAAAGGCTCGCTGCACATTCGGAAATTTTACGATAAATATATTTTTTCCTCTCTTTTTTTTTTTTCTTCTTTGTTTTATGACAACGCTGTGTTTATACCACCCTTAGTTTTTAACCTTTTTGGTCCTAAGGGTGACCAATATCAATTTTCTCCTAACAACATCAGATCATCAAGAGTAAAGGTTATGAGAATTACTTTATTGATTACTAAAGAAATAACCCTTTGATCTTAAACCTTAGAGAAGATGTATGGAGATCAGTCCGGAGAATTTGTTTGTGGATCTTGGGGCTTAAAGGATTAAGTGCTGAAGTACTGCCCCTTGCGAGGTAATCAGGAATCTTAGGCTTTGGAACACGGAACTCAGCTCAAGGAATTCGGACCCTGGTTTAAGATTGGAATATCTGGAATCCAGTTCCTAGAATCCGGATTCAAGCGTTGAATCCAGAATCCAAGTCTGCCTTGGATTTACATTATTACACGGGACGAGAGGTATCGAGGCAAAACAATGTACGACTTTTAAGAACTGCTGAAATTTTAGAAAATGCTTGCAAGAGTCGTAAGGAGGGGGAAATTGGGGTTTACGGTATTGCGGTATTAAGCTTTTTCTCATGGGGTATTTCGGAAATTTTAATTTTAATGAACAGTATTGCGGTATGATCTAGCCCTGCGGTATGCTGTTTTTCATCCTTTTGGCTGCCGGTATTCGGTAAAAGAAGATCCTTCACGGTACTTGGGTACCTTTCATTTGCGCTCTCCTATCCAATACAGGTCGATACAATACGCAACACAAAACACAGTGAGCATGGTACATGATTTACGCAATTTTTGGCAGTTAATCTACAATGTGATTGTTGTTGTTTACAATAACCGTGCTTCTCGATCTTTGTACCGGTCAATCGAGGTCTTCTCACGTTTTCTCACAATGGCTGAGGTTGCCCAAGACGTAGGCGGGGTCATTATGCTTGATGGATGCAACTTTAAGTAAGCGTAACCAATCATACTTGCTATGTCGGTATTTTATCGATTTTGACACGGTATTTCGGTATTTACCAATTTTTCTTACGGTATTGCAGTATCGGGTACCCCCAGTGTCCCTCTCCGTAAGATACGCCCCACGCATCCGCCATGTTGCATTTTTTCAGCGTTAAGCCTTCAACTCTTAAGAGTGACCAGCATCAATTTTTTTCCTTACAACATCAAAACATATTTAAAAGGAAAGGTTATGAGAAGTAATAAGAGTTAAATGCTTTGATATTTGAATTCTCTTAACTAATTGTATGCCGATTAAGGTAGCTTCGTTATTAATACAGGCGCATTGAGTTATAACGAACTTTTCATCATAAAGTTTTTTGGTTTAACAATCGATACTTAACTTTGAAAAGAACTATAGACATCATTCGGAAATGATAAGACATAATCCGATTTTACTGGAGGTAAAAACATTTTACGAAATAAATGCTAATGTGGACTCTACCGTTCGTTCTTAGATGACAGAATGGAGAAACCAATTTGGTTTTTAAGCCGCGGCGTTTTTCAAAGTAAATTTATCATCTATCACTAACCTGCATCAAGAGGTCTCGTCACTTTGAGGTATGCGCGCACCTCCTTGCTGCCTGCCCTGTTCGTTGCTTTACAGACATACCAACCTTGGTTTGCACGATCAGCGCCCACAATTATTAACCCGGCTCTCGAAACGACAATACCATCTCCTTTTACAACGTTTCCGTCTTTATACCACGTAATATTTGTATTAGGGGTCGAAGCGGAACAATCAAGTAAAGCAGAGCTTGTTTCTTTGACGGTTACGTTGGTTGGAGTCTGGCGGAATCTCGGAGGGTCTAAAGAGAAACGAAAAATGCAGTAAAAACAAGCGAGTAAGAATCTGGTTTTTTCATTAAAGAACCTGTTGGGCTAAAATTTGCCAGTTAAGCCCCCTCTATACAAGAACCTGTTTAGCCTAAAATTTGAAACAGGTTCTAATTTTCTGCGAAAACATCCTTACACTTTGGCAAATAAAATAAGACATAGCAATACATGTATGTAATATTCTGAAGGAGGACTTCAAATTTTACGTGGACAGTGCTTCAGTTCTTTTTCTAGTAGTCATTTTTACATTAGTTTCAATTTGGTATGCAGATTTATATAAGTGATAAGCTGAATACCACTAAATACTCTTTGCGACAATGTATTTTGTTTCTTCAGAAATTCTTCAGTCTAAATTTGTGCTAATTACCATTTATGTAAGAGCCTAATTAGGCTAACTTTGGGAAAATGCAGTTTTGCACTCGCGGGTTTTTACCGTAGCGCAAAATTTTGCGTTACTTGTTTTTGGAGAAGCATTAAAGACGGAGACTTGATATTCTAAAACGATGATAGCTTCGTTAGTTCAGCCTTTCAAATACAATAGCCCTCGTACATGCTAACGTCGGATTAGCTTAGTTCTCTCCCAAGCCTTGATTTCGAGGTGTAAACTTGTGAAATGTCATGAAAATGTACCTCAAAGATACAGCGCAACTACGCACGATTTTCCTGATGTTCTGGTAGCTCGCGTAGTGATGCTGGGATGATAAAGGGGAAGGTTCAGAAAAGCTGGTAAAAACTTTTTGCTTCAAATTTATGGTAGAAAACAAACACGAAGAGCAGTCTCTTAATCGTTATGACGCGATAGGTTCCCAGAGAAATCTGTTGGGGTATGAAAATAAGTGCACCCGCTTGTGGAATCCGGAATACGGAAAACTTTCAATTATGGAATCCGGAATACAGCTCAAGGAATCCGGAATCCATCCAACAATTGGAATCAGAATCCAAGTTCTACTGACAAATACCGGACTCTGGTACCTGGTATCCGGAATCCACAGCGAGGAATCAGAATCCAAGCCTTTCTCAGTTTGCTTTATTGCAAGAAAACAGCCGACATTTTGCGGCGCCACAACTGGTTTTCCCGCGAAATGACGTTTGAGAAACGAGCACAGAAATTCCATACTGATGACGTGTCACCTTCAATATCTGGTTAGTGCTTCTGACTGGATGAGGTAAGTTTGATAAAAACCAATTAAAAGCACTTCCCAGATCTGGATAGTGACTCATAATCAAAATGGAATTTCTGCGCTCTTTTCTCAGACGTCATTTCTCGGGGAAATCAGTGGTGGTGTCGCGAAATCTCGGCTGTTTTATTAGGCTATGCTCAATGTACTCACTAAGACATTCTGGTGCTTTTTCGCTCCAGCTGCCGTCAGTCAGACACGTGCGGGTGACTGGTCCGTGTAGATTATAGTGAGGGTAACACGTGTAGCGTATTGTACTGCCTTGTTGGTAATCACTGCTGCCGTTTCGCGGCGGCGGGTTCCTGTCACCATTTGCTGGGTCACCTGGATCAGGGCAGTTTGTACTGGGACCGACTGGTATGGAAACAAAAAGCCGTTATTTCACTACACCCACTCGAACGCTCACGGGGGTACTGCGGATTTCAATTGACGGGGATAATCGAATCACGGCAAAAATAACCCCTCCCCCCCCCCCAAAAAAAAACCCTGGACCAAAAATTAACCCGGGGTACGCGGGCACTACCAAGAATCCTCAGAACCCCCAGCGGGGTCGAAAAAGCAATTTATAGCTGAAAAAAGCGGTCTGAAAAAGTACTCTGTAAATCTGTAATTTGACAATGCATATGAAGTTCCAGTTAAAGAGGCGGATCAAGTTTCTGGGAAATCATTCACCTACCCCTCCCCTAAGCTAACATTAACACTTACTTCTCTCTTAGGGCAAAATGATGGCTTAGGGGAGGGGTAGGTGGGCAGTTTCCCAGAAACCTAAATTGATCCAAAGAGGCTATGTCATCAGGATAAGATATTGTTGTTTTAGATCAATTCTGTGTCGAAGTCATCATTCAGTTTCTTGCCCCGCATACACCAAGTGCTCCTTTAGAGGAAGATATCAAACAATTTCACCAGTGAGCACTCATACGAACGAAAATATGTCTTTGGGGGGGGGGGAGGAGGGTGTTTTTTGCAGGCATATCGTTTAAACTTGAAAACATTTACACAACTTTTTCAGGTTTCAATCCATATCCATCCTTGCCATCCGTTAAAACAGACGACAGGAAACAGTTGCAATATCTAAAATATATACTAAAACAGTGGATAGTGTTTTTCGCGCGCCCTGATTGGCTACTCAATCAGTGAATATCCTGCACTATTCACTGATTCACCGCCAGTTCCTCCGAGCGAGAGACGCCAAACTCGCGTAAGTTACAAAATACCTTCCCGGTTTGCTGCCGTAACAAACAAAGAAATTTCACAACTAATCAAGCAAGCTGTTTCCGAAATACACGAAGAAAGTGACGAAGCTCGGGGTGGAAGTTTTCACAGGTAAAGCTTTGTCTTTTTGACTTGGATTTATCGATAAAACCGGCGAAAAAGTTTTGTTGTTTACAAATGCAAATTAAGTTTAAGTCTTGCGTGACTTTTTTTAGTTGACTTGTTCATGAATAAGCTTAAAACTAAATCTAATAATCCTTTTTACAGAATGATTTTTAATACAAAAAGAATTCACAACTCCTTTTGAGGAAATTTTCCCGCAAGAGCTAAACAAATGCCTTCAAAAGTTTTGTTAAAAATCATCATTTTTGGGCTCAATTATCTCACTGTTTTAGTATATACTTAAACAATTATTCACCTCAGTGTCGGTGGCTAGTGATGGATATTTACCTCGCCGTTTACGCGGCTTCGGTAAATATCCATCATTAGCCACCTCCACTTCGGTGAATAATTGTTATATATTCTTAAATAATTAAAACTGGAGCATTTTTGGAGTTAAGAAGATGTAAGCAAAGTTTTAGGCTTTTCAACGTGGCCCCGAAATAGTTTTCTCGAGACAGCCCATGAAAAGATGGACCACAACACCGGGGTCTACTTGCCCCCTTCCAAATGAAAAGGAAGGATAAAGGAAACAACAACAACGGCTTAAATGTAACGTCACCGACCAATAACAAAACAGCGACAAAGACTTGAGTCACAGTCAGCATGATCTTACCAGTTTTTGAAGACCCTGGTTTGTAGTGCTGCCGAACTGAACTCACGACTTCCCACTCAACAGACCGGCACTTATCTAACTGAGCTAACCGGGCGGCGGTCAAGAAAATCTAAAGAGTATGTGTATGTCAAGCATTTGGTCCTTGTCACCCCGGACTTCTTCATTGTACATTTTTTCACCATAAAAGTTAGCACTGTTATCGTTATTGGAGAAGGTTAAGACCTCTCCCGATTGCAAAATGCTAAAACTTCTAACATTTGGTAACTTGTTCCCGCCACTACGACACGCTCCCTAAAACTCGTGGTAGAATGACGAGGGCTACCACGTTTTCCCGCCAAAATGACGCTGCCTAACGCACGAGCACTACTTACTATTGAGAAAATCTCGTACTCCTACTCGTTCTCGTCTCATAATCTAGAGGTCTCTATTGTTCCCTAAAGGGTCCTGAGTACCATCCAATGTGAATGCTTATGATCTAACACCCTGTTAGCAGAGCTGCGATTTGGCATGATTGGAGTTGAGCATGCTGGGAAACAGTTTCGAACCCAGGCCTAATAGCCGTGTGCTNTACAAAAAGAATTCACAACTCCTTTTGAGGAAATTTTCCCGCAAGAGCTAAACAAATGCCTTCAAAAGTTTTGTTAAAAATCATCATTTTTGGGCTCAATTATCTCACTGTTTTAGTATATACTTAAACAATTATTCACCTCAGTGTCGGTGGCTAGTGATGGATATTTACCTCGCCGTTTACGCGGCTTCGGTAAATATCCATCATTAGCCACCTCCACTTCGGTGAATAATTGTTATATATTCTTAAATAATTAAAACTGGAGCATTTTTGGAGTTAAGAAGATGTAAGCAAAGTTTTAGGCTTTTCAACGTGGCCCCGAAATAGTTTTCTCGAGACAGCCCATGAAAAGATGGACCACAACACCGGGGTCTACTTGCCCCCTTCCAAATGAAAAGGAAGGATAAAGGAAACAACAACAACGGCTTAAATGTAACGTCACCGACCAATAACAAAACAGCGACAAAGACTTGAGTCACAGTCAGCATGATCTTACCAGTTTTTGAAGACCCTGGTTTGTAGTGCTGCCGAACTGAACTCACGACTTCCCACTCAACAGACCGGCACTTATCTAACTGAGCTAACCGGGCGGCGGTCAAGAAAATCTAAAGGGTATGTGTATGTCAAGCATTTGGTCCTTGTCACCCCGGACTTCTTCATTGTACATTTTTTCACCATAAAAGTTAGCACTGTTATCGTTATTGGAGAAGGTTAAGACCTCTCCCAATTGCAAAATGCTAAAACTTCTAACATTTGTTAACTTGTTCCCGCCACTACGACACGCTCGCTAAAACTCGTGGTAGAATGACGAGGGCTACCACGTTTTCCCGCCAAAATGACGCTGCCTAACGCACGAGCACTACTTACTATTGAGAAAATCTCGTACTCGTACTCGTTCTCGTCTCATAATCTAGAGGTCTCTATTGTTCCCTAAAGGGTCCTGAGTACCATCCAATGCTTATGATCTAACACCCTGTTAGCAGAGCCGCGATTTGGCATGATTGGAGTGGAGCATGCTGGGAAAAAGTTTCGAATCCAGGCCTAATAGCCGTGTGCTGGGTACAGGGGGTTCATTTATGACCACTGGTTTCACAATAAACGGATGCTCGCACTCGGAAAACCAGTTTGAAGAGAGAAAACAAGATTGACTAGTCCAGGCTACAGTGACTTTAAAAGCTTGGCACGATTCACGTATAGCTTCCTTTTCTTCTCCTTACTCAAGAAGACAAAAAGAGGCTATGCTCGCAGGGTGAAGATCGAACTAATCAAGAATTACAAACCTGGAGAAGTGGCTTTAAATATTACAAACGCAGTTGGCCGATCAAGGCCCTTGGCTACGGTTATGATATCTCTGCCAGTGTCTTTGTCCACTGAATGTATTCCTGAAGTTTCCCAGTCACTCCAAAACAATCTAAAACAAAAAAAACTTTCGAGTACTAACAACTGCGTTCCTAGCCACAGATTCTTTTTCATTCCAAAAGGAAAGCTTAGAAAGAAGAAGCCTCAAGAATTGAGCCAGAAGCTGTGACATCGACGTTAGCCTCTCATAAAAGCAAAAATAGGCAATCATTTTGAATTCTAGAGCTTAAGTAGCTTTTTAAATTTTCCGTATTGCAAAGGGAATTTTTAAGCTCTTCTTCTAGTCTTGACGGAAATTATAGGTCCGCGAAGACCTTTTGAAAATTTTCGGAGATGCTCGCACAACCCTCTCGTATTTTTTAAAAGGTTTCTTAAAACTCGTTTGTGTTCGTAATGAAAACTTTTTACCAGGATTTCCAAATTTCTTGGAATTGAGAATCTTCCCAAATCGGGAACTCTAACGCAAACTCTGAGCCAGCCTCACAACTCAGCTTAACGTGATACCCTGAAAAAACCTTCTGGGTCAAAGGATGCGTTGGAGCATTGTCCTCGGGTACTACGTTTTCCTCGTGAGTATCTCCAGTATCCAGAAATACCTTACGTACAACTGTGTGGAACGTTGTGACAAATTTATCATTACACGTAAATGGCTCTTCAGTGCTGGTCACAGTGATCAGAACCACACTCTCTCAGACGATCATATTCAGCCTCATTTATAGCCTACGAGCAAGCTCTTCGTCTCGAGTGGCGAGCGAAGCGTGCTGCGAAAGAACGGATAAGCGAGCGGCAAAATATTTCCATGCCCACGTGTGACTTCTCAAAATAATCCTCGAATGAAGAGGTTGCTCGTAGGCTACCTAATTTGTTATGAACTAATTTATTATCAGTTACTATTACAACATTTATAGAAATAATAACCTGTTGTTTAGGATGGCGAGAGAGAAGGGATGACGAACACGTGGGGCACTGAGCAGTTCACCACGACCATGCCCCTAAAGAAGAAATAATAGTTAAATTATATCGATGCAAATGAAAAGGACATCACAGGCTTTTAATTAAGGTAAGGAAATCTCGCATATTCATATGGAAGGCAGCATGAGCTGGTTTGTAGAATGTTCAGCCAATACGAGAAGAGCACAAAGCTTCTTACATCTAGATTAGAGTACTCTATTTTGTCCATGCCAGCATCTGCCCAAAAAAGTTTACGCGAAGCTGCATCAATAACTAAACCACTCGGCCATTTTAGTTGTCCTGTCACCATCGTATCCACGTTAAAATAATTGTCCAACCTTCCACGCGCGATCTTGGGTGTAGATCCCCAGTCAGTCCAATACATCATCCTAGAGTCAGAACAAATAGTACAGATGCACTTACTTTAGTAGGAAGTAGTATCGGCCGATTTCCGCTATAAACGCCACTTGTTATCTTCTAATGGATGCCGTTTCAAAAGCCTGAGTTGGGAATACCTTTATATGTGACCACCAGAACGTACTTACGGTCTTCTATAGCTGGTATGATTGCGTGGGACAAAAATAGCCCTCAATCCTTTTCTCCAGATTGCTATTACGCATGCTTGACAAGTAAGTGCCAGCATTCGTTTTGGGTGTGGCATAAGAAAATTAATTCACCTTAGCTAAACGAACAGCTGAACGAATACGCGTAGAAATTCAAATGAATCAATCACAAACACACGTAGCCAGCGCCAAGAGCATAAAAATTGCGCGTAAGCGAGGCACGTGATCTCATTACATTTCTGATTGGTTAGCAAGTGCGCCTGGCCTTTCAATCAACAATAAAGGGCAGCAATCACGTGATACAAGCCTTGTCGGCTTATAGAGGACGATAGCTCTCGGTTTATCTAATCCCTGTCGTATTTGTATGCGGTTCCTTCCATCTAAACTTGCACGCATGATCCTTCCCCGCCTTATGTTATTTGACACTTCAGTCCAGAAAATGAAATTATTTTCAACGTCGAGTGCCATGCCATCCACGACACCTGCATTTCTGTGTTAACCAAAATCAAACCATGTTAATGCAGGTGAATAAAAGGTACTTCCGCAGTGCAAGATTCTCTCGGTTTCTCAGACAGGAAGTTTTAAACAAATATTGCGATTTTAAAGGTTGCTTGAATAAGGAGATCAGTGGGACGAGGATCACCAGTGAATCTCGCTAAAACTCGTCGTAAAATGACGACGGCTAACTCGTTTTCCCGCCAAAATGACGCTGGTTCACGCACGAGCACTACTCAGCATTGAGGAAATCTCGTACTCGTAGTCGTCGTCGTCTCAGAATCTAAGCTCTATAACAAAGCCTTTGCCTGAAAATGACGGTCCCCGATTGGGTCCTTCAATCCCTTAATCCCGACCCAAATCTTCCCTCAATTCCGTAATCCCGATGGTTATTTTTGACATTTCACATCGCGTGTATACCTTCAATCCCCGATCTCTCCTCCATTTTGCTTAAAGATCCCGAATCCCGAGATTCAAATCCCGTATCCCAAAAAATCCTCAAAAAATGATGAAAACGTTTGGGCTAAAATTGTTTACATGTCAAACATGCGGGAAAAACATAGGCGGTTCTTTTAGGGTGAAAAGAGAAATGTCGCACACGCGCGTGCGCTCCCCTTGCGTGTTCCCCTGGTTTATAAAAACTTACGAAAAAAACTAACAGGCATCTGTTATGAAAAACGCGACTTTTTCACATGTTCAAGAGTAGGGTTAACCAAGCTTGAACTTGATTCAACTTATTAAAGAAGTTGGCGTATGAGATATAGTAAAGACATTTTCCTTTGCTTTAAGGTTCTAGTGCAAAATTTAAGGGTGCCCATTTATAAGTCCAGTGGTATATAAATTACCTTTGTATCTGTTGCTTGCCTCCCATTCCGCTCAGAAAAATGCGGTTTATAGAGCCTTCACCTACGTCACTCCAATATACGCGCTTATCAACAGGGTTATATTCCAGCGCGACAAGCATCATGGGATCGTGATTCAATTGCACCTTTTTAAACGTGGCTCGGTTTAGTTTCGTGTCCATAAACAGCTGCCATACTGCCTTTTTAGTGGCAACCACAATGGAGTAGCTTGGTAGAGGAGCTGACAAATAACAGCAATATATGTTATGATGACTGGAGAGGCTGAAATTCAGAAGAGGCAAGTGGGTCCTCATAACACAACTGAACCAATGAACGCCTGCTTTGTTATAATTACAGACTCCCTTCGGGTTTTATGGGATTAAAAGAAAAGATGGTGTTGTCATCAACGATCATACATTCCTTTACATGCCGATGAGAATGCCAATCACGTTCCCAACTTTGCCCTCGAGGCTTCAGGGAAAGCCCTGGAAACGCAATTGCCTCGTTCCTAGTTCCCGCCCAGAAGGCAAAGAGGAATCACTCTATGAACAAAGGTGCTAGAATCCTTCTTCCCAAAAATAGGGATACATCGTTGCCTGCTATGTTACTTAAAACTTCCTAATTGAGGGACGAAGCCTAACTTGATATTCTCTTTGTTGTAAATTGAAAAACGTTACCTTCACAGTACTTAGCAAAAGTATCATTGGGGGCAACAGGACAGTAGGTGTTAGAAGGACACTGTTACTTGGCGCCCCTCTCCCGCAGAAATGAGGCCCTGCCACGTCTCGTGTCGGTGTTTATAAAAGCTTCACGTCGCTGTCGGAAATTGATCGAAAATTCTTTGTCTCAGTTGGAATTTTAGAAAAAGGGGGATAGCGTTGCGTTGTAAAGAAACCATTACAGTTGTTCAATTTCTCAGTTAACATTTCGCATATTCTCGGCTTTGCCGTCACTGTCGCTATTTGGCCGAAGGAGGTTGTCTCTTGTCCCGATTTCATTTTAGTCTCTGTCGCTACTTTTTGGGTCATGTCGTTTGTTGGAATTTACCCTGGCAGGGCCTCAGAAATAGTCTGCTCCAGTGGATGGCTTCTTTGCAGGGGTCATACCATGGCATGGAAGAACTATGAATTAAAAAAGAAAAAAGCTTTATGTTTGGTCTCCCACTTCCGGTTTTATTTAACGAAATATGCCGCCAACTTCTATCCCTTCCTGTGTAAAAATTTCAAAACAATGCATAAGGTGTAGTTTAAAGTTCGAGCGGACCTAAATAACCTTCCACTAACCCCCGAAGAGTCTGTCCCCGACGGGGAAGGGGTGGATAGACCACACTATAATCAGGCCCCACTCACCACTCCTACAGTTTTTGCCGTCTTCTTTTAGCTGCATGTGACCTGGACAAGAGCACTGAACTTTCCATCGACCTGATGATGTACACCTGTGACTGCACCCTCCGTTGTTCACGCTGCATAAATCTTAAACGGAGAAAAAAATCATAGGCTTGGGTCAAAGTGCACAAATAAGATATACAAAGAATCAGTAAACTCCACTCTCCCCCTGATAGTCTTGTCAGGCTTGTCAAAAATACCATCTGGTAATCTTTGATAAGTTCTACACAACACGTGATTTTGGATTTGGGTCTTTGCTGTCGGACATCGCATGTCCTCCCGTAAAACATACGCGTACGCACTTAGGCGACTTGCTGTTATCGCACCAGCGTACAAATCTGATGGCGGGAAATCGAAAACTCGCGGGTAAAGTTACAGTCCTTTTAAAAGCCTTTTCGTTGGTGGTTTACCGCACTTTCCTACAGAAAAATTCTCCATAACAAAAATCGGACGTTTTCTACGCGGGTTTTCACTTGTAGATTTTTCAGCAGTAGGTTTTCTTGGCCTTTTAAAGACTTTCAAGACCCAACGCCAAAAAGTCATGTTCCTGTATAAGTCGGATTTTCACTAGCAAAACAATGCACTTCTATGGTTTGATTTCCAAACTCGTGCTTTTACTTATCAGGAAGGAAATGCATCGTAGCAATGTTCAGCTGCTTTAAGACAAAAAGCGAACAAAAATTTACCACGCGAGGTTTATTTAATAGCGCGATGTCTCATGTTAAACTGATCGCGGAGACACGCGTTTATATATGCCACAAAAACATGAAATCCATGCGGTTTTTACAGTTTTTCGAAAGTTTTCGCGGAAAAATTTATAAAAAATATTCCATAGGAAATGAAGAATGGATTGAGTTTGAGACAGCAATAATTACAAGTGATTATCTAGTACATAATCACTTGAGCATTTCATAAGCTCAGTTGCAGGCAAAACGAATGCACATACTCCGAAAAAAACGAACAGTACTTTTATTTTTCTTTAACTCTAAAAGACAGAGATTTTCCTAAGCTACTATTTTCTCTGTATTTTGAAGAGACTCTTGAGTAACATCTCCTGTGTTCGACAATCGATTTCTTGTTATTAATTTATACTTGATGACGGTAGTGATCCATTCAAAACAGAGAATGGCCCATCACTCCATAAATCTAACTGACGATGTTGTTCACCTTCAAATCCTGTTTAAACATAAGACAGGAAGTTTGTTAAAGGGGTGCATATAATGCTGTTTCCTCCAAAAATAAGTACTTCTGCTAAAACACCCAAATGAGCTGGGATGCGAAAACAAACATGACACAAATGGATGGATGAATTTGTCTGTTATTAATCTTTCTGTTGAGAGCTTTTTACTGTACCCAAATGAACCCCATATGTAAGTTGTACATCATGGAAGAATTATCAAGCAGAAACTGATGCATTAAACAAGCATGTGGTTCAATACAGAGGAGAAGCTGGTCTCAGTCAACATCCTTCGTGAATGAAATGTCTCACAAATTAGCATATCAACAAATGTAGTATCCACAAAATGGCATCATTTAGGAATAAATGCGATTTCTTTGCAACAGAATTGTCAGGATTTATTTAAAAGGTGTATTGATAACGTTTCATTTCGTGCTATTTTGGGGTTGGGGAGTTAGGCTACATTTTCTTTAAAACGCCAAAATGGTATATATATCTGCATAATGAATCTAAACAAACAGTGTACCATCAAAATAAGGTGGAAAAAATCAGAATTCAAAACGATTGCTGTAATTTTTTTCCTTTGTATAACTAAATGATAGAATATTCTTATTTTCAAAACATAATCTTACTGGCAAAATCATATTGATTTAAATTTATAGTTGAAAAGCGTGTATTATATTTCTCAACGAAGACGTACCGTAGAGGAAGACTAACCATGACAAAGATCATGCGCGCCGATGTGAATTTGACTTGTGAACATGCGAACAACGACTGCAGTTCTCCAAATTCACCGTTAGTTTGTAATCTTATCTCTTTTATGCAGGGTGCTTCTATGTTTTAAAACTGCTTCATTACAATATGGCCCTGTGTCTTGAAAAAATGATATCCAAACGACTATGAAATATATTTCACTTTAGCATTTCAACGATTTCTCGCAATGTGCAGTTAGTTCCCAGTTCCCCGCTCGGTTGTAAGCCCTGTAAGCGGCTTACACGAAAGCTTACGCTGAAAACCTGTCCGTAAATCGTGCATCATGTGCCATCTTGTCTTCGATGTACTGTTTTACGAAAGGAAAGACTGTCCCCTCAAGGGCGACAGCGAGGCTACAATAAACTCACTTTCATCGTAGAAATACCTCGATACCTTAAAGAACATGTTTGTTGAACGTAGCACCCATTACACGTCATTTAGCTCCAGAAAACAGCCTGCAAATGCTGGTACTGAACGTAAACAATTCACAGAAAATGCCTCGGTGGCACTTCAACAGGCCATATTGACGCATGCGCTTACAAAATGCCCTCCTGTTCCTGTAGCGTACCTTTCAGTTTTGATACCGCCTTTCCTTTCGAGTAGCCTCGCAATGGAGCTTACTATGTAGTGTAACGAACCATATCACGGTAACGTATCGTATCGCACCGTACTATACCCATACTGTACTGCATCGTATCGTGCCGTGTAGTATTTTTTCCTATTGTTTTTTCCAAATTTTCCCGTCAACTAAACAAAAAAAATCTAATCACAGTCATATATAATGTTGCATTTAAGACTAAATTTCAACAAAGGTCTACTAGCTGTGCTCTGTTCATACCGGCTATGATAACGAAACTGTTTAATGAAATTCGAGCTAAAAAAAAAAATTTGTTTGCCTATCCAGCGAGTCTATGCGATAGAACTTCATATACTGCGTTCTTTTTAAACGGAATTTAAAAAAGTATTTCAGTTTACTTCCTGTATTGGGGACACATTTGTCCTGTACTGCGCAAGTCTGTCGAGGAGCGCATGGTGGAGTGCAAAGTGGTCGGGTTGCCATGGTTATTTGTCGTGATAGCAGCACGCCTCCTTCCTGCCATGTGACAAACGCTTTTCGAATGAAGTTGTTGTACAATAAAACAGGATTCTTCTGCTCTCTGCCAAACACAAGTCGTAAATTGCCTGAGAAACAATCAGAAAGAGTTACTTCTACGAAAATTGAATGTCATTATTTTCGAGGTTCTATGCCTAAATCAAATTTCCAGATATTCAACCTTTTCAACCCCGAAGGAACAATAAAACTGGGTACAACAGCCGCATGAAGTAGTACTACCTAGACTCCCAGGCTGTTATTTCGAAGGATGGAGGGCTCAAAACCTCGTTGAAATTGATTGTTTATTTGTTCTCCCGGCGCGGTAAACTGCTAGGGGAAGCTGGCTAGGACAGACTCCTAGCCAGTCACTTCCTTAGTGAGTTCGCCGTGCATCAATAGAGGTAAGGAAGAAAAACGCTTCCCAAGCGCCTTTGTGCGCATCAAATTTCCTTTCCATATTCCGTTGCGTGAATGAATAAGTGGTGACTTGGTACGAGTCTGGGACAGGGTAGTCCGCTACACAGCCGTTTTTAATGTCGTCACGCAACGCTCGTCCCCACAAATATCGTTACGTGGCGACACTAATGAGGCAGTGAGGTTCAAAGTATGGTATTTCTACACTACAGAGTACGTTGATACTGAAAACTCGAGACACTGACCTTGAAGGAGTTCTCCACCGATTACCCCAGACCCGCTTAGTTCTTGCCATAAAAGAAAATGATAGTTATTTGATGGAGAATACACTGCTACCGGTGTCCTGACTTGCTTTGTTGCTAAGCAACTGTACCGTTTAACTTCCCGGATGTACTCTGTACGTGTCAATAGTACAGAGGCAGTGTTTAAAACATGTCTTCCACTGTCAGAGTCTTCCCAGTACAGAATCAACCTACGGCGTAAAAGAAAACCATTCAGTCATAAAAAACAGAAACCACTATGGTAGGGCATCGATAATGACTAAACAAATGATCTTTTGTTAATGATCGTTCACTTATCTTCAAGTATATAAGTGAATAATCTTCAGGCTGCGCGTAATTCATGATTTCCCTCAACTCTGTTTCGCGCGAGAGTGCGTTTGTCGTTATCAGTGTTTTCGTTAAACTGTAGAGTGTTTTCACTCACATGACTACCAGCTATGTAAATTTGTTGGAGCAAAAGAAAGTTTTTACATAAGAAAAAAGTTCAACTCCCAAAGGACTGGTCTGGAACGCAAACATGGTTGCTTCTTTCATAACTCGACATTTCTTTGGGACAACACTTTGAGAAAACACTCCGCGGTAGCACATTTTACCAGAATCATTAGATTCTGTTTTGTGATGTCTCGAATTCAATATAATTATTCAGCCGGGATAACACACACAAAAAAACACATCCAAAAACTGTTTAGTATTTACCTATCAAGGTGTTCATTATAGTATCCGGCAGTCCGCGCACGGGTCTTGTTGGTGTAGCCAATAAAGTTCTTTGTGGCAGCGG